CAGTTCTGTATGCACAAATAAAATAAAATCTTTAAAAAAAAAAAAAAGGTGTTAAATTCATCAATAAAATTGTGTTTTACTTCTGATATATGCAGAAACCAATCCAGGTCATAGACGCAATGTACAAAACATACAACCTCATGAATTCCCCAGAAGCAGTCCAGGCCATCATTCTGGGCCTGCCCAAGCCCGGTGCTCAAAGCTCATGAAAGCATTTTCATATTATGAACACAGACTTTGGAGCTAACCTTTGCACCCTGGACTTAAATCACCTCAGCCACCTGAGTGAACAGGGCTTCCTTTCAAAATCCTCCAAGCCACTTGGAATCACAGGGCAAGAGTGTGGTGGAAAACCAGGTGCAGGAATCCAAGGGGCAGCTTTGGGCACGAGGCCAGGTCACAGCCCCCGACTCCTGGGCAGTGTCAGCAGGATGTCCTGACCGCTCAGGCTTTGCAAGGCAGCGCTCAGTCTGCAGGCCCCACTGGGTGCAGCCACCTCTGCGGGAGAAGCGGGACCAAGATGGCTGCTTGGGCCTCCTGTGGATTGTGCTGGGCAGAGCTCCAGGGTAATCACCTCCCGGTCACCTGGTAAAGCCACGAAAATGATGGGGCACCCCCTGGCGCGGAACCCAGGTTTCCCTCCCACTCTCGGAATTGGGCTGACTTGTTCACTCAGGTATCCACCTCAGACAGTGAGTGCACAGCTTGGGGAGAGGGAAAATGTGTGTCTGCTCTTTCACCTAGAAACTGGGACCCACCAGAGGGAAAAACAACATGAGTAATACCTGTGTCTCCCTCAAAGCTGCTCCCTCACATCCCTCTGAAAACCTTTGTTGTCAGACAATGGGTTGATTAAATAGGACTGGAAGGTACAATGGCCGAAAGTGTGGGAGAGCTCGGAAAGGGAACCCAGCTTTTGGGAGTTCCAAGCCACATAGGCTCTGCATGTCCTCAGCCTGCAGGGCGCAACAAAGCATTCTACCCAGGAATTCTCCTCAAGCCTCACCTCCCTCCAGGACACCCATACCACATTCTGCTCCTCTTGTCCCAACAGTGGCCAGAGCCTCTCTGTCCAGGAGGCCCAGGCGGAGTACAGACAGACAGATCCTCTGGGACCACCACTGCCTGGAGCACAACGTCCAGCCTGAGGGGCCTGCTGAGCGGCAGGCGTGTGGAGAGCAGCAGTGTCTGCATCAGCACCTCATCATGACACCGGGCTGACAGGCTGGGCCCTCCCGCCCCATGGCCTGGACCGCTGTCTCAGGTGAGTGAGCACGGACAGGTTCCCCTGCCCCAGCCCATTCGTTTTCCTAGTCTCTTATCAGGGGGAGCTGTATTTGAGGGAAAGACTTGGATATAGGGGATCCCCTGGACAGACAACACTGAGGTCTCTTGCTCTGGTCTAGCGATCTTCAGAAGGGGCCTTTGGGGCTTCCTGTGCTGAGAGAGCCTGGGAACTGCCAGGTGTTTGTGTTGGGTCAGACCTGGAAGGAAGACAGCTTACAGTCAGGGACTTTTCTCGGCCCTGACACTTTGCAAGTTCAGGTTGCCTCAGGGACTCATGAACTTTCACAGTGGGCCCTGTTCACCCATAAGTGTCACAGGCACCCTCATAGGATGTGGACTTGTGTGAACTGGGCTACAGGCGGCTCCCAGGCATGCTCCTTCCCCCTTCCTGCAGGTGGATCTCCTCAGTTCTCTGTTCCTGAAAGTTCTTCCTTCCCCTTCCCCTTAAAGACATTGTTGTAGATGATTACTGTAGATTTTTTTTTTTAA